CGGCTATCTTTTTCTTAACACTCAACGGCTTGAGTGTTAAGAAAAACATGGCTGTTGCCATCTACTGAATGACATCTTCAGCAGAAAATAGGAAAATGCTTTGGCCTCCGTCCTAAAGACTATAGAACACTCCAATTTTAAACAATGATTTTAATTAATAATATTTCCATTTCTAAATTTTTTCTCTATGATAACCCTTTGAAAGTAAGCAGATTTGATTTCCTGATAATTCTGCCGGAATGTAAATTAGGCAGGTCAATAGTTCAGGAGCTAAGGAGGCCTAGTACGCATGCAAATCTCGTGCGCATCTGTCTCTGAGTCTGACGCTAAGGAGGCCAAATATGCATGAAAATTTCGTGCTGTTGCCGTTGTGTTTGATATCAGTCGGCGAGCCCTATTGAAATTGGGGTGGGAATACTCGTGTAATTTAAATCTATGTCTGCATTTTTAAAGTCCAAATCTACAATTTCATCTCACAATGAAATGGAAAATATAAGAAATCACTGTCTAGTTAGCATAGTATGCCAGGGACATCAACAATAGTGGGAAACATAGGATAATTTATGCATAACAGGCTTCGCCCGTTATGCAAATTATTCCATGTTTCCCACTATTGTTGATGCCCTGACATACTATACTAACTAGGCAGTGATTCCTTAAATGTTCCTTTTTTTTCGTGTGTAAATTCTTGCTTAAAGTTATTAAGTTCGCTTTTTTTCGTACCAAAAAATAAATGGATCGGATCCCCCCTGCTTTCTTTGAGGAACATTCAAAAGTTAGTCTTATACCCAAATAGTAGGAAAATTATTATTATTTTTTATAATAAAAATCCACAATTCTGAATTTGGGGATCTCCTTATTTTATATGAAAATGTAAGGATTTACTTACAGTACATAAATCTCGTCTGAACGCATAGCAAATTAACTTTTACTTACGTGTGTATATTTACTCATATGTAAATTTACATACATAAGCAAATTTTCGTCGTATGAATGGGGTATTAGTCCATTGTGGCCCCGCCCTACCCCCGGGGGTCATGATTTGAACAAACTTGAATCTACACTACATGAGGATTCTGACATATAAATGACTCATCATGGCTTTGCTGTTCTTGAGAAGAAGATTTTAAAAGGTTTTTCTTATATATTTCTAGGTTACACTTTGATCCTCCATTGTGGCCCCGCCCTACCCCCAGGGGTCATAATTTGAAGAAACTTGAATCTACACTGCCTGAAGATGCTTCCACATGAGTTTCATCTTTCCTGGCCCTCTGGTTCTTGAGAAGAAGATTTTTAAAAGATGCTATTAATTTTTCACTAATTCTTTATTAACTCCCCTTTAAAGAGGGCATGGCCCTTCATTTGAACAAACTTTAGTTGAATCCCCTTCACCCAAGGATACTTTGTTGCAAGTTTGGTTGAAATTGGCCCAGTAGTTCTGGAGAAGAAGATGAAATTGTGAAAAGTTTACAATGATGACACCGACAACAGACAAATTTTGATCAGAAAAGCTCACTTGAGCCTTTGGCTCAGGTGAGCTAAAAATAAGAAACAGAAGAAAATCAATATTTCTGTGGAAAGACCTAATAATATTGGGGGGGGGGGGGGGGGGGGAGGGGTAATTAAATATATGTAAGTTGTGGGGTTAAATATGTGTCTTCAATCCCTACCCTTCTTTTTTACAAGAGGCCCAGGGGCCACAGCGCTCACCTGAGCACATCGGGCTTGAATTTACTCCCCTCCCCCCCCCTCCAGGCCGTCATCATTTGAACAAACTAGAATCAACACTACCTGAGGATGATTCAATATAAATATCACCAATCATATTAAAGTTTGAAGTACTTGAAAAGAAGATTTCAAAAGGTTTCCCTATATTTCCTTATGTAAAACTTGGGTCAGCCGTTTTGGCCCCACCCTAGCCCCAGGGGTCATGATTTGAACAAACTTGAATCTGCACTACCTGAGGATGATTCCACATGAGTTTCATCTTTCCTGGCTCAGTGGTTCTTGAGAAGAAGATTTTTAAAGATTTTTCCTATATATTCCTATGTAAAACTTGGGTTGGCCATTCTGGCCCCACCCTTGCCCCAGGGGTCATGATTTGAACAAACATGAATCTACACTACCTGAAGATGATTCCACATGAGTTTCATCTTTCCTGGCCCCGTGGTTCTGGAGAAGAAGATTTTTAAAGATTTTTCCTATATATTCCTATGTAAAAATTGGGTCGGCCATTTTGGCCCCACACTTGCCCCAGGGGTCATGATTTGAACAAATTTGAATCTACACTACCTGGGGATGCTTCCACTTGAGTTTCATCTTTCCTGGCCCAGTGGTTCTGGAGAAGAAGATTTTTAAAGATTTTCCCTATATATTCCTATGTAAAACTAGGGTCAGCCATTTTGGCCCCACCCTTGCCCCAGGGGTCATGATTTGAACAAACTTGAATCTATACTACCTGAGGATGCTTCCACATGAGTTTCATCTTTCCTGGCCCAGT